GCCAGTAAATAAATACATAAACAAATAAATAAATGCCAGTAAATAAACAAATAAATGCTAGTAAATAAACAAATAAATGCCAGTAAATAAATTAATTAATTAATTAATGCCAATAAATAAACAAATAAATAAATGCCATTAAATAAATAAATTAATAATTGCCAGTAAATAAATAAATAAACAAACAAATGTCATTAAATAAATGCCAGTAAATAAATACATAAACAAATAAATAAATGCCAGTAAATAAACAAATAAATGCTAGTAAATAAACAAATAAATGCCAGTAAATAAATAAATGCCAGTAAATAAGTAAATAAATAAATGGATAAATAAAGTTGCAAAAATAGCTGAAATGTGACCAGAACTTTTTGGAGTTTATCACAGCAACGAGGTGGTCACGCAGTTGTGTCTGTGTATATGTTTGCAAAATATCTCAAGCACCAGTAATTGTATTTAAATTAAACTAAAAATAAACACAACATAGATTGATTAACTTTTAAAGTTAGTCAATTCAATGTGGCTACCACAGCTAATTGATCTTAGTAAACACAAAGATTATTACTCTGTCAGTTTTATAAGGCATCATTTGGTAGTAGCTAAACGACATCAACCCATACTTTTAACACTACCTACAGTAACTGTGTAGGTTTTTTGTTTAATACCTTTAGCATACAAAGAGATGGGTCATTACATTATGGGCAAAATACAGAATCCCAACTACTGAAATTTACCAGATGCATGAGACTAGTTTATTTACAAGGAGTAGGAAATGCCAGAGATTAGAGAAACTGCAAACGATAGCAAGAGGAGAGTTCATGAAATCCAGATCAGGAGATCTGATAAAGGAAATTTAGAAAGAAAGAAAGTGAAAGTGCATTGTAGGCCTATTGTAATGTGTGTTCCCATACAATGACAAAAAATTGTGTTCTGCACAAACCCATCAAAATCCATCATACAAGTTGTTCAGTGGGCAGCAGCACCTGTTGGACAGTTTGCATCTTGCTCAAGGACACCACAACATGTGGGTGTGGTGGGGAGTTGAACCAACCTTCAACTTTCTGGTCCCAAACCGGCTGCCCTACCACTGCACCACAGCAAAGGAGACAGAGGGAGCCAAAACCACAAAATGCTAACACAAGTAATTCTACTGTTAAAGATTTTTATTTGTGTTTACTCAGAACTCAAACTGTTTGAGGTATGAGGATGACAAGTCATTTGGTACTTGGTTGTTGTCCCACCTAATTTTCATATGACAGTTTATGAAGTATTTTTAGTTAATTTATTTTATTTTATTTTTAAAAACAAGGTTTATTTTAGCCTCAAAGGTAATAAAACGATTCCAAAGTCAGTGCAGCAGTTTCACTGATGAACACCTGTGAAACGTTCCTTTCTGCTCTCTACAAACAGGTTTTGGAAAGTCTCAGATATTAACAGTTTAGCAGGTCTTTTAAATGTAAATTAAGAAGTGAAAGTTATGTGATGTTAATTAAAGATTTCATTTTTAACTCCCTGCTCCTGCCTTTTATCTGATAAATCGATTTATATTGTAGCAAATTTAAGTGGAGGTGGCGCGGTGGCGCAGTTATTAAAGCTGCTGCCTCTCAACGAGGAGGTTGTCCGATCACGTCTCGTCCTGGCCATTCTGAGAGGAGTTTGCATGTTCTCTCCGTGCATGTGTGGGTTTTCTCCAGGTACTCCAGTTTCCTCCCACAGACCAAAAACATTCATGTTAGTCTGCCTTCAGGCCTCCCTTGCAAAAGAGATCTGTGATCTCAATGGGATTTGCCTGGTGAAATAAAGGTTAATAAATAATAAATAAATCAATTGTATCTCATACGTCACCTCTTTGGAAGGCTAAATAGGAGATATGTGGATGCAGTTAGAGAAGACATGGAGGTAGTTGGAGTGAGAGCAGAAGATGTGGAGGAAAGAGGGAGATGGAGGAGAATGACTCGCTGTGACGATCCTTGATGGACCAACAAGAAAGGTTTATATTTTCAGTGATCAGAATTTGTTTTCTGCCACTGTTTTTATTCCTTAGTTAGTTGTTGGTTTTGTTTTGGTTTTTGGTTTTTTTTTGGGAGGGGGGGGGGGTGCCTTGCAGTTCCTCTCTTGTGGCAGATTGGCACCAATCCAGTTAACGGGCTCCAGGGTTGTATAAGGATGATGATGCGTTTTGCAGCATTTTGAAA